AGGTAACTCCGGCAAATGAGGCCGTTGTCCACCGGTCTACTGTACAGTAACTTGGTTCGTTCGTCAGATGAAAATCCGAATAACTTCGTCGCGTATACGTTTGCAGTATAACATCTTGGTTCGTTGCCAGGTATGTACTCTTTACAGCTTTAATTCGACTCGAATTAATTGTAGCCGCCGCGTGACTCCGCGTCGTAAACATTTGTTGTTGAGAACAGCGACATTAATTGTTTGTGTACTTGCATAGATAGCGAAGTGTTGCGCATGTTTACTGATCAAATACGATATGTAAATGGAAAATGGCCGCGCTTTTAAATGCATAGCAACGTTAAGGGAGAGCATCATTAGAATCTGTACATTAAAAAACATACGCAGATTATTTTTACTATCTTTAAGAATAATTATAGTAAACTGTATTCTCTTAAGAAAATATATTCGCGCGCTATTCATTTCTTATCACACTTTTATTATTATACTTATTATTATTTCAATTTTTTCACTTTATCTTTGTAATTTCGCGTTTATATTCTCATTCACATATGACTGTAAATAAAAGGAGCGTAGAATTAGATGGCCAAGCAAGAAATATAAATTCATAAATATTCGAGTAAATCTAAACTTAAAATATAGTTGAATATATCACTGAAAGCATTATCTCTTAAGCAAATAATAAACACGGATACTTTCAATCGATATCTGATTAAATATGATAAGATTATTTATAAAGAGAATAATATTATTTATGTTCAATTCGGAGACAATTTAGTTCTTGTAAACGCGATGTTCAATTTTGAACAAAATTGATGTGACTATGTTAGATTATAATTTTTACATATGTTGATTACAAAATTAAATATATCTTGAATACACACAATGGTAAAATAGGAATTTTACTTTTGCGCTTTTGCATGCGCCTGGGGAGGTCACCATATATACGTTCGTGTATATTAAATTGCAAGATGATTGTTTACAGGCGTAAAAATTATTTCTTGACCGCGACAATTCTGCATGTAAATTCTATGTTTCGGTTCAATATTTCGCCATATTTAAATCTTCTATTATTTATTTCGTATAATGTGTAATTTAAATAAAAAAATGATAAGTTTTCTTCATTTTTTTATTGTCAGAAACACGATTACATTTTTATACTAACCTACAAACGCATTTTATATTACTCGATTCTTTTTACTCACATTATTCAGAATATTTACATACTTACTTTACTCACATTATTCATAGAAGATATGTACGTTTGATTTTTTTACATTACATATTAAATATATTAATACCCAATACAATATATTAAACGTAAATTAAACACAATATATGATTCAAGAAGAGAAAAGGGAGATAAAAGGAACAAAGTTATAAAGTAAACTTACAAATAAAGATGGAAAAAATTGTATGGCAGTTCGTGCCGAAGAAATTAAAACTAAAGTAAAAAGAGCATGTAACTGATTTAAATTTAATCAGATATAATAGGTCAATGAGTCGACTTTAGCATTTTGGGTTAACTAATCTGTTTGTGTCTTAATTTTTTTCTTCGTTTCTCTCCGTCTATATCAATCTTCAAAGTCTCTGATTTTCTTATACATCACAGCATTTCATTAGATAATTTTATCACGTAATGATCCAACAAACTCATGCAGCAATCCTCTCCTTTTGTATCGTACTTTTTATTTAGAACAATTTGTTTGAACGTTATATCTCAAAATACCTTTCAGTTACATAAATAAATTATAATAAGATTATTGTGTACTACATACATATAAGTACACACACACACACACACACACACACACACACACACACACACACACACACACACACAAAATTTATGAGTAATTTATTATCATGTTTAGAAATGGGCAAAATAATTTTTCAGATCAAAAATTAAAACGATTAATTTCTAATTAAAAATGTAAAGCTAATAACAGTTCTTGAAATATTATGTGAAATATTACATGAAAGAAGAAGAGGATCTTATGATATTTGAAACTTGTATTTAACAGCGTATATTATCTATGTGTAAAATATAAAATATAAAAATATAAAATATATAATTATTATTTTTTTAATATATTAACATCTTTTTAATAGGATGCCAGATTGAGCATCAAATTATTAAATTACTTGTCAATTTAATTTGTGATATTACTGTAGTAGTTTAATTGCGTTTATAAGTCCGAAATATCAATTCGACGCGCAATTCAAATGACTACATATTTAGTATATAAATTCACATAGAAATTATTTAAAGCATCTAAGATCCAGCTTGTTATAGATATTAAACTTTTACTTATTGTGTATTTACATGTACGATCTTAATAAATTCGTTTATTATTATTATTACATATTAATGATTTTTATAATAAGTTTCAGAACTTTAAGATTAATGTATCAATGATATTTGTATTTTGTAATTTTAGTTGTAATTGAAGAATATAACATAAAATTTTTTAAATTCTAAGTTACATTTGTAAAAAATCAACTTATATTTAATTCGCTCAGAAATAATGGTCTCTAAATTGAATAAATTGTTAAATCGTTTTTACATTTTTGAAAAATAGTATATTGGCATATTTTTTTTATTGCGCCAAAACTCATCTCAAATCTGAATTTCGTTTCTTTCAACTAAAAATGCTTCACTAAGGAAAGTTATTATCAAATTCACACAGATTATTAATCTGAGCATTAAATGACAATTTTTATCCTTTCATGCAAAAAACTTTCTGTGATCTAATTAGATTCAATTAGGATTTAATGTAATTTTAATGTAATAAAAAAATTTAATTGGAACATTTACGAAGATCATAATGATTTAAAAAAAAATTTTTTTTTATTACATTCATTAGAATCCAATCCAACATATGTTAAAAAATCGATAATTTTTATTTACATGTTTATGAAGATTTAGATCAGTGGTATAACGTCTTATTAAACATTTTGATTTTGTGAACATCTGTCGACAAAGAAAATCTCACGATGACTAATTGCCGAACAATCGATGAGAACGAGAACAAGGATTAGTTATGATTACGCGTATTGCAGTAACTGATTTTCTATTATCGAGATACAATTGCGGGCTACCTGGACAATAGTTTCCTGGGTACTTTCAGTGATACTCAGTACGTGAACCGCGCGCCTCTCACATCTACGTGGAGGGTGGCTTACCGTACCGGCGAGCGATCACGCACAAAGTAAAAGCGAGCTCAATTGTTCGTTACGTGTCTGATTGAACTACCAACGCGACCGAGATTGGACCTGGCATTATCTCCAACATGATATCCTCCCGAAATTCGCGTGCATTGGAGTCTCCAATCGGTTATTGAGTTCTATTCGAATGACGATTATGACGCACAATTGATTGCCGGTGTGTGCGTGACTAGCATGCCGTGAAAAATGACTTGATATCGATGCTACATATCGACTTTTTACACGATTATTTAATACTTTCACATGAGTATACGTGCGTCGACTTAATTTACTGTTACGAGGTGTTTGTTTAAGAAATATCTTTGTTTTACATCTATTAATATCCCTATATTCTCTCTCTTTTTTTTTATTTTGACATACGCATTAAAAAGTATACGAAAAACTGTATTGCTATAATATTATATATATTGTAAGTTCTTTTAAAAAAATGTGACTCGATATAATAGGTATTACATTAATTTCAATATATAATTAAATTGAATCTTCATAAATCTCATTGATTCACCAACTAAATCTTAAATTGCTAAACTTCTACACAAAAATATACTAATTTTGTATAAATGTTGATTTTTCTGGAGAGAAACTTCATTATGACGATACAAAAGTGATTTGAAATTTTGAACATTTAAAATAATTCAAAAATAGGAATATATCACTAGCGTCTCTTTCTGGATATTAAGATGCGTTTTATGGACAATATTTCACTCATAAAAATTTTATAATAAACCAAAGGTATAAGAATCCTCTACATCACCGGCCGCGAAAATGGCGTAATGCGCCTGCAGAGGCGACTCTTAATTGTTTGTATTGTTTATAGAGGCTTTATAAAGGATGATCACTCATTAATATTATATGTAACATGCGAATACAGTCTGACCCGAAGATTAAATCAATGGTACGTCAGTCGATGTCTCTGAAGTGACCTCCGGGTTATTCGATGTGATAGGAAGGAACACGTGTAACTAATTTTATAATATTATTATTTATATATCGTTTAATTTGCAATTCGGTGAGAACTTTGTTGCATAATGGTACCACATCGAGCTCCGTTGCTAGGCAGTTTGCTGAAAATCACGCTTATTGTCCTCGAATATGGGAGAAATCCGATTAAATTCCACATAGATCCGAAATGATGCAACTGTCATATCTAAGTTAAACTAATCTGTCCTAGTAAAAAAAAAAACGAAATAAATGTAAAACTATACTACTGCATTGATCGTATATATATATATATATATCTTATTACTTGTTTATGTTTGTCCAGTTTCTTCGCGAAGTTTCTAGATGAACGTACCATTCGAAAATCGACTGGTACCAGATATACTCACCTAAGAATCGGTGATTTATTCGCTTTTATTTTTGCACGCGCGCGTCAAACCATACGTTTCCTTTTTGATTCGCGATAACGCGTTTGAGAATAACGCCATAATCGTGCGAGAAGATATAACGATCGCAGTTTGTTTGCGTTTCTCCCACTAGTGAGCATCCTGTTGTCTATATGTATGCAATCGCGCATTGCTTGTATAAAAATCGCGCAATTGTGCATTACAATTGCACACAATTGTTGCGGAGACGTCGCGACTGCAAGAACATTTCGGACTCGACACAACGAGACGGTGTGTCTTTTACCCTGACCGACACCTCCGGCGACGACGACGACGACGACGACGACGACGACGACGACGACGACATCGATTCCTCGAAGCGAGACTTCGATGTGATCGTGACGTAGCCGTGGCAAGAGGAGCGGAGAGGACAATTTGTGGTAGGGACCTCAAACTAGTTGTTTTGATCTCTTTCGACGAACATATCGCGGAGTCCTCCTGCCGTAGTAACACGGCTGACGTCAACGTGACTACGTGTCTCTCGTTTCCTTCGGCCACTCAAATCTTCCTTGTCCATCCAAATCCCATACTTCTTCCCACATGTCCGTCGTGGAGACACCCGCCATGCCGCACTTGTCACGCTCTTGATTACGTTACCAGAGATATTCGTTGCGCGGAAAACCGATATTCGCATCTCTGAAAATCTTTTGCGTTTTCTTCAAAGTCAGAAGCAGCACTATCCAACGGGATATTCACAGACGAGTAGTACAATTCAAGAAAATATTTGATTTTGCTCGAAGACTTCATTACTGTAGTCAACTGTACAACTGTACAACTGTAGGAAACGTTACTTTGCGAAAATTTACAGAGGACTATCATTAAGGGAGGAGAGAGATAGTTCCCACGCTCCCGGCGCAAGGAATCCACGAGAATAGATGAGCAACATCTCTTCCTCGAAGAGGAATTCGAAGGTTCACAGGGTGAGTTTCGTTGGTCTCCAGATTTACATGTCATTACATTCCGAAAAGTGCTGTGCGAGAACTCTTACTTCTTACGACTTCTCCAAGAAATCTACGTCTTTCTTTTAATTATAATAACTGTATAATTTTAACACCATTGAAATTGGTGATTACCAATTAGATAACTTTATTTTCAAAGTTATTTTCATATCAGTATGTTAAATATAATTTTTAATTTATATTCTTCATTCAACAATTCAGAGTAAAATTTTTATTTTCTCCTAAAAATAATCAAAACAGCGAACAGTTAGCATCCATCTATAGATCGCCAACTATGAGATGATTCATATATTTGGTAGACGAGGTGTTAAATTATTCAAAAATAATACTAAAATGAATGAACAGATTGTGCAATCATGTGAAATTGTAATGGATGCGTTAACAACGCGCTATCCGCGTTCACAGAAATATTACATTCGGCGTTCTCCTCGCCAATATGGGGTAATTATATCTTTTTTTACCCCTTTCTACCGAGAAAAGATCGAAGTTTCGCGGAGATTGAATTTCGGTATGTACATCTGAGATGCTCTTTGATAAATTTAGTAGCAATTTTTGCTATCAAATTTATCGAAGAAAATATTTGTTAAGGACGTTCTCCGATTGCAGTTATGCTCAACCTAATGAGCATTAGTGCTCATCATTATGAAAATTTTTATGAAAATTTATTTCACTTTTATATAGTTTAAGATATTCCATAAGTGTTAATGTGTTTATACAAGCTTTTTTATACAATATGAAATGCCTCCCATCTTTGCTATTGCCGCCGGTCGAAAAAAATAGCCACTTTACTTACTGTGTTACTTTGCTTAATGATTTCTTAAAAAACGAATATCGGAAGCCATATTCAGATAAATTTCATATTATTTCTTGTGATATCAAGTTTTACATTTCATTGTTTCAAAAAATTGTTAAAAAAACTTTTTTACAGTGAATAAAAAGATCACTTTCGAATAAGCTTTAGATAGAGATTCTATATCCCCTGTATATATATATATATATATGTGTGTGTGTGTGTGTGTGTGTGTGTGTGTGTGTGTGTGTGTGTGTATTTTAAACGCTTCAACTTTGAAGTAGAATATTTCCATTTTTAATCCCAGTATCCGGGTATTGAGTTTTAAAATACATATCAGGACACTAAAACAAGTTTATTCTGTAAGTTTCAGAAAAACCTAAAGAAAATAGATTTTTTCGGAGAACATCCTTAATCAAGATCACGGATGTATTTTAATTAGCGCATTTATTTAAGTGATAAACCATTTCGTTTTTCTTGTCTTACAAGACCAGGTAGATTCAATTATAGTTCAATTATAGTTCATTGATTAATATTATTGTATCATACTAATTTTTCTAATTCTTTTCCTCATTATTTATATATTTTTATCATTTTATATTTTTTTGATTCTATATATGTATACAGAGCGTCGAATGTCGAATTAAGTAACTTCTTTAACTGATACTGCAGATTCAACCAGAACGCATTGATTAAGATTGTTAAAGCATCGCACTTAAATAGTTTCGTTATTAAATATCAAGCTTGGACATCAAAAGAAAATTTTAATTGTACTGAACATAATTGGTAACTTTAACAATTAACTTTAACAATCCTTTGATTGCTTTCAATTATATTATTTCGTAATATTATATATATAATATAG